TATATATATATATATATATATATATATATATATATATACATATTATTATTTTTTTCTTTTTTTTTTAAGTTGTAAGCTCAAGCATCCAGGTAGATAACAACAAAATTAAATTGTGTCATCTGGGCCAGTTTCTTTAAGTGAGAAACGTTTCGTCTCCCATCCAGAGAACTTCATCCGTCTGTGGCCTGCCAACCAGATCTGTCCCATAGGTAGATTTCATTACTGTGTTTTAAGCCAAACTCCTGTTGGAATCTCAGAAGCAGGCTCTTAACACATGCAAACAGGACCCATCCGTCCAAAACAATCATTATGTACAACGTCTTCCAGATGGGAGACGAAACATTTCTCACTTATAGAAACTGGTTCAGATGACATGATTTAACCTTTTTTTTGCTGTTTTCTACCTGGATGATTGAGCTTACAAACCTTATTTTGTCCTCAGGCTGTCAGCCATCTGGTCTAAAACAATTGACTGTTGTATATGATGATTGATTGTTTTGGACAGGTGGGCACTGCCCACTGCGCAAGGAGATATCTAAACGACGTCTTTTTTAAGTCGTTTTTGCTCGTCTTATTTTGGTCCCTTATTGTGACGCCAGACGACGTCTTTTTTCAACGTCAATATAGATGTGTTTTCTACATCAAATTTGAACTTATTTTAGTCACTTCAGAATATAATATTAAGTGCTGTGTCTTGTCATCATTGTATGTTCCCATACGGCGGCGAACCTATCCACTCCCAGGTGGATGTTGCAATGACTGGGGATCAATCCTGGGACTCTCAGGTTTGGCGTCGGCTGCCCTATCGCTCCCCCATTTTCTGATCAGCAAACAAAGCAAGAGAAACAGTTAATTTGACCATCCATTGTGCAACAGGAAACTGGTCCTCCACCCACTAGTTGGACTAAGGTTTGCAAAAAAAATCATCACTCAACTTGTTCCTTTATCCTCTTTATTGGATTAACAGAACAAATAGCTCCGAGAGAAATGAACACAGTAAATAGCAACAGTTGGTATATGAACGAAGCCGTGCAAATGTATAATCATTAGAGTAACTGTGCACAGTTACTCTTTAATGATGATAAATTTGATGATTATAAATTATGATTATATCCACTTAAGGCACACCCGCACCTGATCTGACGTTCAAACGTTGCACTCTATATTGACGTACAAGTGAGGTCATGTTTAGACATCTATTGGTCTTTGACCGACGGACTCAGTATAGACATGATCTGCACAGCCATTCGACGTCTAATGTTCAGTGGGTGTTTGCACGTGTTAAAAGCCTACTTTGGAGATTCCACCAGGAGGTTGACTTGAAACACAGCAATGAAGGCTACCTATGGGACAGATCTGGTTCGCAGGCCGCAGACTGACGAAATCCTCCTGATGGGGGACGAAACATTTCTCACTTAAAGAAACTGGTCCAGATAACATGATTTAACTTAAAAAAAAAAAAAAAATTAAATAATGGAAGTGCCTTGGATAAAGTCTGTGTAGTGGCATGTTTTTGAAGCATCCAACAAAATGCAAGATCAAGATATGTTACAATCCAATACTTTGTATTGGCCTTGGGATGGTAAACATGCATTCATCTGCTACGAAACTATCAATAGTATTTTTATTTTTCTGTGTTTCATCCCTATCTATTAGAGTTGCTGTCTTGCTATTTTAAAATAGCCTGAAAATGGTCACTTTTATTGAAACCAAATACTGAAATTAGAGCATCTGTTCTAAGGGATGCAGTTTAGATGCACTTTTTTGCAAGCAGTTATATTTAAAGTACACTTCTCCGACCGTATGTTCTGCCTCAAAACACCTTCTAGTTACCAGCATATTAGCAGCACAGCAAGTTCTTCTATTCCCTCCTTTAGTTGTTCAGGTTTCCATTAAATTGTGAAAGGGCAGAGAGACAAAAACCAGTTAATACTCCATCTTGTTTGATTTCACAGAGAGGCTGACATTCCGGGACGTTCAGTCACCGCAGGAGTTTCGCCACGGAGAGACAGCCGAGGTGGTGTGTGACGTTATCAGTTCGCCAGTGCCAGTGGTGGTGTGGTACTACCAGGACAGAGAAATAACAGAGGAGCACCACAGTAAGTCATGAGCACCAATTGTCAATATTGAGTAATTTATTAATTTACCGCCTTGTGCAAATGAAGGTTGCAATTAATTTTCTATGCATATATTGAACCAAAACGTGTACTATTTAATTGCATATTGTTGCAGGCGTGTCAAACTCAGTTACAAAAGTGGCCAAAATGTAAAACTTTCTTCAAACCAAGGGCCAACATTTTTTCTTAGTTGCAGGAATTGTCGAAACGGTTTGTCTTTCATCCAAAGGACTTCATCACTCAGGGGAGCCACAACAAACTCGGTCCAATAAGTAGCACACTCATAGTGGACCAACCAGTTTGATGGTGCTATGTTGGTTTCAGGAGTCCGCCCTATCCCCCGTCAACTCGTCTGAGGCAGCCTGGGTTTTTACATGGATTACTGGGCATGAACTTAGGTGTTTTGAACCACTTTGGCCATGGCTGCCTCAGAAGAGTCGACAGGGGAAAGGGCGGACTCCGGAAACCAACTTATCAACATAAAACTGGTTGGTCCACTATGTGAGTGTGCTGCTTATCAGTCTGATTAAGTCCTTTAAACGAAGGACAAAACGTTTCAACACAAAGAAACGATCCAGAGGACCTGACCCATTTTTTGGGGGGATTACAGAAAAAGTTTAACAAATTTTTTTGGACTTCAAAATTATCCAACTATCATGAGAAGTCTGCACTAAATAAAGTAAAATTAAACAAAGTATAAAGTTAGCTCAGCTTTAAAGTAAAATGATTTATTTGCAATGTTAAATCACTAATAATTACCATAACTTGCTAAGAAATGCACTGTATTTTCTGGAATAAAAGGCACACCGGTTTATAAGGCGCCATATCAATGAACAGGTCTGTTTTCATACATAAGGCGCTCTGGATTATAAGGTGCATTAAGCGAAACAAAACTACAGTGGCTCTAAGGTGTAAATGAAAAACATTTGAAAAAACAGAATTGCATTTGAAAAAACACAACATAAACGACAAAATCACAACAACATTTAAAAAAATGGAATTACATTAAGCCAAAGTGGAAGTGGCCGAAGCGGAAGTGGCCCAAGTCACATTAGAAAAAACAGAATTAAATTTGAAAAAACGGAATCACATTTGAAAAAACGGAATCACATTTGAACATTCAGAAGACCTGACTTAACTTTTTCCTGTTTTTTTTTTGTTTTTTTTTTCAAATGTAATTCTGTTTTTTCCTAATGTGATTTGGGCCACTTCCGCTTTGGCCACTTCCACTTTGGCTTAATGTAAATCCGTTTTTTCAAATTTAATTCAGTTTTTTCAAATGTCATTCTGTTTTGTTTTTTCTTTTCAAATGTAATTCTGTTTTTCAAATGTAATACCGTTTTTTCAAATGTAATTCTGTATTTTCTGACGTGATTTGGGCCACTTCCACTTCGGAACTTCTGCTTTGGCTTAATGTAATTCCGTTTTTTCCAATGTTAATCTGTTATCTCAAATGTAATTCCGTTTTTTCAAATGTTAATCTGTTTTCTCAAATGTAATTCCATTTTTTCAAATGTTGTTCATTTACACCTTAGGGCCACCGTACAAAACAGATAAGTCAAACTTTCTTCAACTCATTCACAATAACTCAACATTGTTCAGTTGTAACACATAAAATACAAAACAATGCACTCACTTTTTCAGTTCATTCCTCTTCCACAAATCTATCAAATTCTTCGTCTTCAGTGTCTGAGTTTAACCAGAATACATAAGGCGCACTGGATTATAAGGCTCACTGTCGAGTTTTGAGAAAATTAAAGGATTTTAAGTGCACCTTATAATCCGAAAAAAAAAAACCCCCAAAAAAACAGTATGCTTATATTTTAAAGTACCTTTCAAACTTGGCTATGACATGTTTCTTTTGTGTTCAACAGTACTTTTCATACATTGGTGCTCTTTATTGCCGTCATTTATGATGATAAACAATAATCATAAGAAGAAATGTTCTCAGAGGAATTACTTTTTGAGTCTAAATGCATCAAGTGCACTTGAATATTTAGAAGAGGAGTGCTCATATTCCCCAATGTGATTTTTCTCATTGAAAGAGCTCCCTATTGTTCCAGAATCACAGGTCTCTGGGAAATGCTATTTTTTTTTTACCCCCTTCTCCTTTGTGTTGGATTCACAATAAGACAAGGATATAAAATTCTATGAATAGAATCTCATCAGACCTGGAGGAGGCATCTAATTTGGACAGAGACCACGTTAACAAGCCATGGAGAGGATGGATGACGGAGCACTGTGAGATGAAAAGCGCACCAGCGCGCTCATGAAAAATAAAAAACAAATGGACGTTTTTATGCCATACTTCAAATTTTGCGTGCAAGATTTTACAGTCGTCCTCCTCTCCCTTTTAGCAGGAGATGTATATCATTTTTAGAGCTCTCCCAGGTAATCCCACCCTTTTCATCCTGAACAGTGTTAAATATCAGGAGAATGGCCTATTTAATTTGCAAAGAAAAGAAGGAAAAGGGAAGAAAAGCACCCACTCGCTTTCACTAATGTCCTTTTCCCTCTAGATGTAGTAACGTAGTGAGGAGCAATGCATAAGACTCATTATTTCATCTCCCCCTCCTCTCTGATTTACAACTGCTCCCACATCTTCCTTCAAGGGAGCAAAAAAAAAATGGATGTCTGAGTGCTAAATAGGAAGACTGACCCCTTGAATCCTTGAATCTGTCACATTTTTAATTGAAATTCAAATCTTCACAGACACCGTAGTGATAAAGCATTTGGAGATATATATATTTTTTTCCGTCTCTTTTTAATCATTTCACTCTAATTGAGATGCCTGGTTATAAATAAGTTTTCTGGAGAGAACTAAGATAGAGGCCTCGTCTAATCTTACAGTGGCCACAACAGTCTGGAGCTGTACTTTTGTGACTGTTTATCTGTACGGACTTTATCAGGTAAATGAGCTGAAGAGAAGATTGACAGTCTAACTACTGAGGACAGGGGTTGGCAATTTTCTCTGGCTGTTTTTCAAACTTTCTTATCGCACCTTTTTCTCTCTCTTTGTCTTTGTTGTTCTTTTGTCCTTCTCTATCTTTGTACTCCACTTTCTGTTTTCATCTGTCTGGTGAAGGCAGGTACCAAGTTTTGGCAAACAATAACCTGCAGATCAACCAGGTAACCAAGGCAGACGAGGGCGTGTATCGCTGCGAGGCCAGCGTGGAGGCACGTGGAGAGATCGACTTTGTGGACATAGCTGTGGTGGTCAACGGTGAGTTGGTCTTCAATTGCCTTCACAAACCCCATGCAAAAATATATTTCAACAATTGGCTAAGTCATGAATGGCGTGACTTTTTGGAACAATACGTTGCAAGACATACACCAAATTTGTGAAAGCCTGTGCAAAAATTCCCTTAGACAACAATGGGATTTTAAGTAAACGGGTGTGAAAACTTTGTTCTTTTTGAAGTACCATTCTTTGTAGTAGAAACAAAATCCACTGTTTAAATTGGTCACAGAATGCTGAGCTGTAGAAGTGGCCTAAAGCATTATGGTCGCTCACATATAATAAACTGTACCAATACATAGATGATGGTTGAAACATGTTTTTTTGAAAATCCTTCACCAACTCCTGCTTCGTCAATGAAAATGACTTTTGATTAAGTTTGGTAACGTGGGCAACATTTCACCAGATCTAGAACTAGATCTAGCTGGCATTGGTGGCTTGGTGATCTTGGAGATGGTTATGACACCAACCTGAGCTGTGCCAAAAGACTTGTTTTTGAGAAATCTAAAACTCTTCCATTCATCTTTACCCGTGTCTTCCTTTTTGCGTCACGGGGTTCACTGGTGCCCATATCCAGCAATTGTGCGAGAGGTGGGGGACACTCTGGACAGGTCTCCATTTCATCACAGGGACACATAGAGACAAACGAGACAAACACTATTCACTCTCTCACTCACATCTATAGGCAATTTAGAGTTGCCAATCAGTCTAACATGCATGTTTTTGGTCTGTGGGAGGAAACCGTCAGACCTGGAGAAAACCCACGCATGCACGGAAAGAACATGCAAACTCCACTCAGAAAGATCCCCAGCCAGGATCGATCTGTCAACCTTCTCACTCAGAGGCAACAACTCTACCAACTGGGCTGCTATGCCACCAAGTGTTAGGTCAAGGTCAAGGTTCTTTGTCATTCGCATCGCATGTGGTACACGTGGTGGAACAAAATTGTGTATACAGGGTCCTAGTTACATACAACAAAAGTATAAATTGTAAAAGAAAAACAGTAATAAGATCTAAGATATGAACTAAGAAATAGGCTCAACTAATAATACACTAAACATTTAATAGTGCAAAAGCAATACTCCAAACAACAGCTGCACATTAGTTAGTGATATCCCCTGCCAGGAACTGAACTCGCAACACATGGAGTGCAGACCCAGAGCACAGCCGCTAGGCCAGGGAGACCTAAAACACCTCCAAGTAATAAAAGTATACCAATTCTTAAAATAAGCACAACAGCGCGTGTGGTGATTGTGTAGTGTGGTATGATGGTAACATTTTGTCAATAGCATTTAAGAATAAATTTCTAAATTTTCACAAAATTTTATCACATTAATGTCTTTGCATAAGTGGCAGGGTTTAGTGTTAGAAGAACTTCTTAAATTGTACACAATTTTTCCTTCAAAATAGTGGCAGGATCATCTGGAACTTGTCATGAAACAATAGTGACTTTTTTATTATTATTTAGAGCTACAGTATATTTTGGGGGGCAAGTGCAAACTAAGAAAATTTTAGCCTACATTTTGAAGGGAGTTCCATTTCGGTGGGTACACTTGGTACAACATGAGTATTGGGATTGTTCCCCCACCAGACCAACCTGAAGACATTTCTTTCAACACGTTTCTTTACCGAGCTTTTGGAGCTTTGAGGGACTGACTTGTGTTGTACCTTGTTTCCCTTTCTGAGGGAACATTGGCTATGTTCATAACCTCTAGTTTATGTAAATATGTTGTTCAGTCTGATTCCAAGTAAAAAATTGCCTGTATTTTTTGCAATTTTGTTTCTTCATCTGTCCCATAAAGTTGCTACCTTAGACTACATGTGCTACGCTTTATCATTGCATGGCAGTTTAGCTTTTACACATCTATTCTCTTAACCAGAATATTGTGACTCACCTTTAGGTTTTTAGATGCATCAAGCTAAAAATTTATTTAGGGATAGGGTCAATCATAATGTGTACATATTCATCCTCATAAAAGTTGCCCAGTACCAATTTATGTTAGCATAATGTTCACCTCTCTGTTACGTGGTGGTAGAGAAGGGGTAGAGTCAGTTGTGTGCTCTCCCTTGTAAATGAGTCCTCGAGGCTCAATGGGATTTACGTGTCTAAATAAGGGTTGAATGAGTGTGGAGGTAGATTTTTGTTGTTATTGTCTGTCCTGATCTTCACTTCTTACCAGTTTGTTTCTGTAATGCACAATATAGTCCTAACCACCAATAAACACCTAAAAAAGAAGAAGCTGTGTGAAGGTTTTCAGAAGTGAACAATGGTGTCAAAAGTACGGAGGACCACTAACTATGCTTAGCAAAGTTGTCAAAAGGTGGGAAAAATTCTAGCGCTTTAAACACAGCTCCGAACCAACACATTAGCAAGTTCAAAGAGTTACTAATAGCAGCAGGAAACATCTACAGTTTCTCATTGAGCAGAGGACGGACCTGAGAATATAAGTATGAGAGTCCCGAAAAGCTCGTCACTCACAAATAGGAACTTTTGGGACAATTTTTTGCTGTCCTGACTCTATTTGAAGAGCTAAGAAGAAGCTTCTTTGATTTTCAAACAGATTTTTAAAGTACTTCTAAATGTATAGACATTTATTAGTACTAGTATAGTGGTACTCAGAATTGGCAAGTGCTCAAATGTAAGTACTTGGTTTGAAACGTAATTGGTGCAACCCCTATGTGTCTAGGGGAGTTTGTCAAGAACAAAGTCGTCCGATTTTAAGAAAACAAGATAACAATGGCTTTGGTAAATACATTAGAAAAAAAGGCATCAAGATTCCACAGAATAATAATTCTCTGACACTGAATTGATTCATAAATAATATGGAATAAATCCAAGGTAAGATTTTTTTTTTTTTTTTTGCACAATTCACACAAACCAACAATACTGTCCATCGAGATTCCAGGCACACAAGTGCTCCTCTTCACACACTGACAACAGATTACCATGCATTAGGGACCGGATTTCCTCTGCATACACAAGTGGGTTTGTTGCTGCTGTTCTTAAAAACAGAATACAATTCATTCCTTCCATTCTGGTGTGGCCAAGGTTTAACGTTTGATTCAACAGAAAGATCTCTTACCTGTTAACAATAGCATTTTTGTACTATGGCTAATTAAGATTACTCGTTTGATTCTTAATTCTTAATGTAACAACAATTAACTAAAAGCAACTGTTTCTATTTCTGAGGACCTTTTGTTGTTCACAAATTTGAAAACACAAGGTTTAATAGCAGCACATTGTGAGCTACTATTCTAATAAAAATAGTTTATATATTTCGAGATTATTTGACATGTTTAGATCATATAAAGTCACTTAAGTAGTTCTGATGTGCCTTCTAACAGATGAGGTCAGGTAGGAATCCCCGTGGACTATGATGTTTGCAGATGACATTGTGATCTGTGGTGAGAACAGGAAATGGGTGGAAGAGAACTCGGAGAGGTGGAGGTTGCACTTGAAAGAAGAGGAATGAAAGTCAGCTGTAGTAAGACAGAGTAGAGTACATGTGTGTGAATGAGAGGGAGGCTGGTGGAACAGTGAGGTTACAAGGAGCATAGGTCACAAAGGTGCAGGACTCCAACTACTCGGGGTCCACTGTCCTGGAAAATGGGGAGTGTGATAAAGAGGTGAAAAAGAGAGTCCAGGCAGGATGGAGTGGATGGAGAAAAGTTTCAGGAGTGATTTGTGACAAAACGGTATCAGCAAAGGTCAAAGGAAAAGTTTACAAGACAGTGGTGAGACCAGCTATGTTGTATGGTCTGGAGACAGTGACACTGACAAAAAGACAGGGGAAAGAACTGGAAGTGGCATAAATGAAGATGTTGAGGTTCTCCTTAGGAGTGACAAGGATGGATAAGATTAGGAATGAGATCATCAGAGGTACAGCACAGGTTGAACAACTGGGATATGAAGTTAAGGAGGCCAGACTTGAGATAGTTTGAACATTTCCAGAGGAGGGACAGTGGGTATACTGGTAGAGGAATGTTAGAAATGCAGCTGCCAGGAAAAATACAGTGGATGTATCTGGATGCAGTTAGAGAGGACATTAAGTTGGAGTGAGGACAGAGGATGCAGAGGACAGAGTGAGATGGAGGAGAATGACTCACTGTGGCCTCCCTGAAGAGGGAAATGCCAAAAGAAGTACTTCTGATAAGCAGGATGTGAACTTGCATTTACAGAGATATACATGGACCTCTGGTTGTACTATCTTGCCAGAGTTGAAATATTAAGCTGCTTTCACTCATAGATATGTCCATTGGTAAGTTTAAAAATATATATATACTCTTTATTCTCTAATGTAAATGGAAAATACAGTTAGCATTGTCTGTGGGTACTGTGGTCCAAAAATTGGTGGATGTTACTCCAATTTTCTCATTTGTTCTCATTTACTGCGAGCCACAAGAGACTTTCGGAGTGATTGAAATGTAGTTCCACTGAGGCCACGAGCACCTTGTAATGGTTGAACAGCTGCAATATTGTCTCTGCCTATGTAATTCTCTCACACCTAATGTAATAGCAGTGCAGGCCTTGGCCCAAAAAAGTATAAATTGCATTTAATTTAGCACACCACTTACCTCACTTCTGTGGAAGATCCAATAAGCCTGCTCAATGAGGCACAACGTATTATTGCAGTGATGCAACACTTGCCATGAGGTGCTAAGATGGGATGGGCCATGGAGCGCTTTGCTGAGCTTGCACACTGAGGGATCTTCACTCACCGGGACACACTTGATGAACTTTACTGTGTCTCAAAATGATGTCGGTGGACTATCGCACAGAGAAGTGTCCTGTAGTGTGTTTAGCCTTAAGAAAACAAAATCAAATATGTTAAAAACTATTTGGTTCTTAATAAGAATACTGATTTTCTAAAGTAAGCTTGAACTGTTTACAACTTAGTGAGATAATTTATCATTTGCAATTAAACAATACCATATTTATATAACTATATCATATATCGTATATATCGTATCGTAATATTTTCTAA